AGCAGGAGTCACACCCCAAATGCTATCGGTAAGTGATGAGGAATTTGGGGTGTTTTTTATATTTCCAGTTCTGCCTCTAATCCTTTCCCCTTCCTCCCCAGTAGCCACACCACCTTTCATCTGCTTGTTCTCACTTACTCCTCTCCCTCTCCAAACTCACACACAGCGTTTCCCCGTGAATGAGTGTCTGGTGTGCCCTTGGGATCTGGAGATGTTGAGAAGCACACAGAGCAGAGCTGCAGTGCTCACAAAGACAAGCGAGCCCAAACAACGTGGCATTGTCACTGCCAAATGTATCAAACAGCTCCACCCATCGTCCCTGCGATATAGTAGCAGTGTCATTCTTTTACACCTGTGCACTTAACAGTTGGTAACTTGGGTCCCTATGCTTTGTATACGTTGAAGTATTGTAATTGAAACTATGCTTCCTGTCTTTGTCTGGCTAAGACTGAATGGCTTACAAACAACGGAAACTGATTCCTCACGGTCGTGGGGACTGAAAATCTGAGATCAGGATGCCAGTATGGTTGGGTGAGGCTCTTTTCTGGGTTCATAGCCAGAGCCTTTTTGCTGTGTCGTCACATGGAGGAAAGGGCTGGGGAGCTCTCTGGGGTCTCTTCTATAAGAGCACAAATGCCATTCCTGAGGGTTCTACCTCATGACCTAACACTTTCCAAAGGCCCCACCTCATAATACCATCATCTATGGGGGTTAGGATTTCAACATATGAATTTTGGGAGGAGACACTCAGACCATATCTTCCCCTCCAGTTGCAGGAACTCAGAAATGTTTTCTTACATCTCCATAAATTTCACTGCTCCTTAGATTAAGTCTCAAACAAATCCTTAAGTGTCTATTTTTTTTCTAAAAGTAACCCTTATATGAATCCTTTGGTGAAGGGAAATATTTCCCCCTCCCCAAACTTGGATTTAAAAATCAAAGTGGTGGTTAGTTTCTGTTAACACTTACTGAGCCCTCCTTATGAGCCTGGCACCACACTAGGTAATTTACATACGTTTTCTCACATAAGTCACATGAGGACCCCATCAGATAGATACTATTATTGTCCTTAGTTCACAGATGAGGGAAGAGAAGTGTGAGGAGCTTGCCCCAGGTCACACAGCAAGTGAGGAGCAGATTTGGTTCCAAGTCAACCTGACTCCAAAGCTCAAATTATTACTGCTGTGCTACTCTGCCTTTCAAGTTTTCTTAAAGTGATTGCAAAGTTAAAATGATCAGAGTTGGGTCTTTTCTCAATAAGCAAGTCGTATTATTTGATGTTATGGTGGGGCTTGTGTTCCTATCGCTTCCTGGGCTAGTGCTAGGAGCGGACATACCACTTTGCTGCAAGAACAAGTGACATTTTGGAGAAACTGTGGAGGTGCCACTCACAGGCTGATGGACACACCTCTAAATCCATCTCAGAGCTGCAACTCACAGTGCTGCTGCGTACTTCTCCCTATCAACAGCCCATCCAAAGCGGTATGGACCGCTGCCTGGTTTTTATCTTTTTCACATCTCATGCCTCTATCATTAAAAAAAAAACAGTGGTCACCTCAGTTAACTCTTAAATTTAATGTATTCTGAAAAGCTTTGAGGGACAAAATGCATACTTTTTGGGTACAAATCGTACCTTTGTACAGCCAAAATATTACAAATATACATATTATATAAATTCACCAGTGAAGAACTAACTGTCTTTGTACTCAAGATTCCTCAGCTGCCTGGAGGAGCAATTTCCTTTTGGAAAGTCATCACATTATATCACATTCTGTGTGTTTGGAGCTGGGCTAATGGAAGTCTCCATCTTTTGATGACGTATTTAAAATCTGAAGGCGGTTGCTATGGGGAGAAAGAGTTACCTCTTCCTTGAATAACAATTGGTGCCTTGGACAGGATGTCCGCTGTCTTCCCCGAAGGCAGCATCTTCTCTTGTCAAGTAGAACTAACAAATGAAAACAAAAACAGCTGTTTTTTCAAATTTCTAAAAAAAAAAAAAAAAGAACGTTTGTTAGTTTCTGGGTCAAACACCAGTGTAGAAAGAATTTTTAGTGTCATAACCTGACTTCATGCATAGTAGCACATAGAGTCCTGCACCAGTAAAAAGTGAACTTAACTTAAAAAAAAAATCCTTTCATTTGTTTAGAACAAAAGAAGGGTTAAAAATGACCAAGTTAGTATAATGTGGGGGCAAAGAACTTACACTCTAGAGTTTGATGCCTAGATCAGCTCTCGATTCTATCGTTTCCAGACTGTGTGATCTTGGGCAAGTTCCTTAAAATCTCTGGGCTTTAGATGCCTCACCAACAAAATAGTCCCTATTTTCTGGGGCTATTGTGAGGATGAATGAGATGATGCCTATAAAGCGCTCAGCACAGGGCCGGGCAGAGAGTCAGAGCTCAGTCAACAAAAGCTACTGAAACCTCATCATTTACAGCAACGTAGAAGATGCAGTCTAAATTTTTGTCAATTAACTTAGATTATATATGTATAACCTTAATCACAGTTAGCTAGTTGGTTAATCAAAACATTTTTCTTAAGTGCATTTTATGGACACCCTTAGCTTTCCTTAAAGTGAGGAACTAGACCCTGGGCAGGGCCCCTCAGAGACTGTCAGCTCCCTCCTTTGCTTCCTCAAGCCACTGACTTCCTGGTTCCCTTGACTGCCCTCCTGGGGCAGTGACGTAATTCTTGTTGTCTGCCTTCACTTAGGAGAATGACTTGGCACAAGTGACATATTTCTGCCCATCTCAAGTTTTTCTTTCAGTTGTGAATGACAAAGAAATGCAATCAGCAGGGACTCTGTTAGCACTGTAAGTGATTTCCAAAAGGCCCCTCTGTCTTGTTTTGACTGCTTTGCTTGCTGTCTTATGTTGACATGTTTCAGAGGTATAGTTTGAAGACAATATAAGCCAGAAACTGGGAAGGGAGCAGTGCTCTGGCGTATCTCTTGTATTAGAGTGTGGCTCAAGGGTAATTCTTTTATGCATCTGCTATAATACTATAACATTAACATATTAATGATATGTGGACCTCTGGACCACTTTATCCTTCCCTTCTCCTCCTACCCCGTCTCTTCCTGCTCACGCCACACTTTCTTTTTCTTCCTGTCTCCTTTCTTCTTTTTTTTTTTAATATGCAGATAACATTTATTGAGTGCTTACTATGTGCCAGGCACTGTTATAATCACTTTACAACTATTAACCCATTTAATCCTCACAACCATATGAGGAGGCACTATGATTATTCCCTTTTTACTGTAGTGAAAACCAGTCCAGGCAATTAAGGAACTTGTGCAAGGCCACACAGCTTTAACACTTTCATCAGCCTATATCTCTTTCCTTATTTCAAATTATTGATCATTTTAGTACTAATTTTTAGAGAATACTTTAAATGATCAATTTCCTCTAGTTCTCAGTGTAGGGATATTTTCCTGGGGGTGGGGAGAGAATGCTTATCAGGTCCCCTGACTTTGGAGGCTCATCTGATATAAGGAGGAACTCTCAGATCCAGGATGTTTTCGCATGGTTGTTAATGGCCCTCAGAGGTCATTGAAAGTGAAGATCATATTTTACAAGGCTAAGGCAATGAATGGGCTACAATCAGAATGTTCTGCTAACGGATTCTGTGACGTTTTTGGAGTGAGACATTTTTATTCATTTTCAAGCCAAAACCAGGTCTGTTTTTTCAGGTTAAAGTTCAGGGGTTGGGGATGGGGGAGGAGAATAGAGATCACCAGACTTCACCTTCAGATCCTTTTTGGAATGAGACAACAGTATAAAACAAAAACAAGCCGTAAAGAACCCTGCAAGTGTTCCCCTCACCCCGCAACTGACCAAAAGCAAACACGCTTCTTCAAGAGGTTCCTTGGCCTCCACCAGGGTCCTGGAGACACTTCTCTTCTGGATAACTTTCACTTGGAACAGAGCCTGTTGTCAACAAGAAAGCCTCTATTTGGAATAAGGCTCCATGTAGGTCAGTCGATTGAACTGTGAGTATCAGGTCATGCTGTGAGGGCACGTGGGGGTGAGCAGAATATTCTCTCCAACGGAGAATGAGATGAGCACACAGGAGGAGGCCTCCCCTGGCTTCTTTGGTGACCAAGGGACTTGTGTCCAGCACAGAGAAACTGCTTTTCTGAGAGCTGGCAGGGAGCACCATGCTTACAAAAACGTGAAGTGTGCTCTCCTCCGGGGCTGCCTGCAGTTCACCCCGGGAAAGAGGCCTTGTGAGTGAAGATGCTAAAGGTGGGGGACAGGGCCAATACTGTGTCACGAGGGGGACAGAAACGATAATGTGCCCTTATGAAGGCTGTGAGCAAGAAGAGAGGATAAAGGAGCTATTCCACGGGTGGTAGTGGAGTGGGAGTGCTGAGTGAGGGGTCTGCTGAAACCTCAGGAAATGGACAGCAGGAAGCACCCCAGAGGGCAGGGTTGGTCAGGTCAGTGCTCTTGGGCCTTGCCCGGGTCATACGGAATCTGTTCTGCAGGCTGCCTCTGGGCACGTACGCGGTGTCCAAGTCCACAGCGAACACACCCCACAGGGGTCAAGGTCCTTATCACCGTGAGTCCACAGTCAGGGCACTGGGGTATTGGTGATCGGAGGGACCAGAGAAACGGGGGTCACTGGGTGAATCCCACCTCTGCTTAGGGGGTGTCTGCGAGGAATGACATCCAGACACGCCCCCTTTTCTCTGCAGCTCCCCTCTCTGCCCAGTTCTGTCTTAGAAGGACAGACATTGGCCGGTGGCCACCTGCCAAGTGGGGCCGGGGACACCAGGGCGGGGGAAGGGACCCAGGAGGCGGCGTAAGGTCTTCAGACACCGCCGCCGCGGCCACTCCTTTAGACTCTGGACGTGCAGAGCCTGAGGGCGCTCTGCCTCCGCCTTATAAACAGCCCGGCGCAGCCGGCCGGGCTCCCGGAGGCCGGGACCAGGCATCGGCGGAGTCAGGGGCGCGGGCCCGAGCCCACCTATTGCGGCGGCGGGGGGCGATCGGCGGTGGCGGGGCCATGGGCCGCTACTCGGGCAAGACGTGCCGGCTGATCTTCATGCTCGTGCTCACCGGCGGCTTCTTCGTGGCCGAGCTGGTCTCGGGCTACCTGGGCAACTCCATCGCGCTGATCTCCGACTCCTTCAACATGCTGTCGGACCTGATCTCGCTGTGCGTGGGGCTGAGCTCCGGCTACATCGCGCGGCGCCTCAGAGGGGACTTCAAGGCCACCTACGGCTACGCGCGCGCCGAGGTGGTGGGCGCGCTCAGCAACGCCGTCTTCCTCACCGCGCTCTGCTTCACCATCTTCGTGGAAGCCGTGCTGCGCCTGGGCAGGCCCGAGCGCATCGATGACGCCGAGCTGGTGCTCATCGTGGGCGTCCTGGGGCTGGCGGTGAACGTGGTGGGGCTGCTCATCTTCCAGGACTGCGCCTCCTGGTTCGCCTGCTGTGGCCGCCGCCGCAGCCAGCAGCCCCTGGCCGAGGGCGCTCTCGGGGATCTGCAGGGCGCAGAGGGCCGGTGGCACGCCACCACCCCGACTGCCCCGGGCCAGGACTCGGCCGTGACCCTCCGTGTGACCTCGTTGGAAAGGAAGGAGGAGGAGGGGGCGACCGTGTACTCAAACGTAGCAGGTGCCTTTCGGTTGCATCCTCTGGACTGCTTTGCCTTTCTCTCTTCCCCAGCCCTGCCCTGCCCGTCCTGGTCCCTTCCTCCTCACCCCACGCCCTCTTTTTCTCTCTGTCTGCTTTTTTTTTTTTTTAATCCATTCCCTCTGCGGTTCAGCTTTGGTTCTCTTCTGCTCACTTACCACATTCCCCACGATTTCTTTCTTTCTTTTTTTCTCCTGGATCCTCAGGCCCCCTTTCCCTCTTTTACCCTCTTCCTACTCTCTCTGTATAGGAGTATTGATTTTCTTGGAAATCAGTTATTACTATTGGGCAACAGTAGTACGCCCATCTCCCTTCCCCCTTCGTTAGATGCTATCTGTGCTTTATTTCCCCCTCCCCCTTCTGTCCAACCTTCTGTCCACTTGGGAGTTATGGGTTTGGGGTGGGGGTGGGCTTCTACTTGCCTCTTTTTTGTTTTAACTTGAGTGAAAGTGTGAATGAAGTCCAAAGGTGGATCACAGGGCTTATTTTCAGGCCAAATGTACTATTCTGGGCTTTGTGTGTGGAGAGAGAGGGGGTCTGATAAGCTGGGAGGAATTTAAAATAACAAAAACTTTTTTTGAGTCCATTGATTCTTTTTGTTTGTAGAACTTATACACAACACAAGGTTTCTTCTTTGAATGCAGGTGATCCCCCAAACACCCAGAATGAGCCAGAAGAGACTGTGAAAAAGGAGAAAAAGTCCGAAGCCCTTAACATTAGAGGTAGGATTGATTGAAATTCTTTTCAGTGGTGCATATGGCTGCACTGTTCCTCTTCATTCTGTTTGCCTTTTCATAAGGTCTGTTAGAAAGTAGGCCAATGACACACATAGACTATGACCCTAGTCTCTTGCCTAATCACTGCATCGATTCTGAGGGAGACACTAGTTGCTAATAATTTATCCTTACCCGACTTGGGTCCCTGCTATCTGCCTGCTCCAGAGTTTCACAGAGCAGTGGCATGTTACAGCTTCACTTGATTTTGCCCAGCCATGGATATCGCTACATAAAACGTAACCTTTTTTAATTGAATATCATTTTTAAAAAAAATTTTTATTTATTTATTTTCCCCCAAAGCCCCAATAGATAGTTGTATGTTATAGCTGCACATCCTTCTGGTTGCTGTAATTGAATATCATTTTGATAAAGGTAAGAAAAGAGTAGGTGGGCTGCTGTCCAAGGTGGCATTGCTGAATGACCCTCATCGCCTCAATTATTTCTGACAGAAATCTGCTTCTGTGATGAGTCTGGTGGCTCACTTGAATCTCCACTTCCAGGCCCAAAGTGGGAGTTCTGGTGAGGCCTGTGGAAGGCACATCATTAACATCTCTCCTGCCATGTGCTCAAGGTCACAAGTACTGGGCAAGTTCAGCCCAGGGAGTTCAGAGGTGCGTTTCTCACCAGACACCAACATTGTTAACATCTCTCCTTTCCAACTTCTTGGGCACAGACTTTGCTTCAGAGTGTTTCAAGAGGAGTCAATCCCCAATCTTGACTGAGCATTTCAACAAAGATTGTGCAGCCTTTTACCTTTAGATGGTTTGGGGAAGCCTGCAGTGGGCCTCAGATGGAAATAATATAAAGAAAAACTCATAATGCAGGAGACACCTTCATTTCTGAGAGTTTTACAAAGTGATACCCAGAATGGATCTATAGGGAAAATCAGAAAATAACAACAACAACAACACATGAGCTCCTAAATATTTCTGAATGAATTGGTTAAAAAAATTTAACTGCAACAGGGGAATTTCTAAAGAGCTTGGTGGTGAATCTTTTTGGAAAGAGAGAATCTGTAATGAAAAATCATTATCCTTTAATTTCTTTCTTTGTTTAGGTTCAATTAAAAAATATATACATATTGTAGGTTTTTAAGATGGAGTTCACCATCATAGCATTTTAACTTTGCAAAACACATTCTGTTAATTATTCATTCTTTTTTTATTATTGAGGTATAATTGACATATAACATTATATTTATTACGGGTGTACAATGTAATGATTTGATATCGTATATATTGTGAAATGATCACCACAAGAAGCCTAGTTAACATCTTTCACCATACATAGTTACAACTTTTTTTCTTATGATGAGAATTTTTAAGATCTACTCTCTTAGCAACTTTCGAATTTGCAATACAGTATTATTAACTATAGTCCCCATGCTGTACATTACATCCCCAAGACTTATTTATTTTATAAATGGAAGTTTGTACCTTTTGACCTCCTTCACCCATTTTTCCCACCCCCCCGTCCCCCCACCCCTTGCCTCTGGCAACCCCCAATCTGTTCTCCATAGCTATGAGCTTCATTTTATTTTTTAGATTCCACATGTAAGTGAGACTGTTGATTATTCATTCTTATCTTATGTTACAGAGAAGGAGAAGAGGTAGGTGGAAAGAAGTAGAGAAGAATGAAGAATAGGCCCCAGTAGTTATTGTGACTTTGTTTGGGAAGTGTAACGTAGGGAAACTTGTATGATCTTGCTAATTTTTAGCCCAAAGCTATCGGAGCTCCTGGGTAAAAATATGTCAGTGGTAAGGATAATAATAGTACCCACTTCATTGGGTGGGTGAGATAAAGCATATGAAGTGCTCAGGCACATGGGACGAAAACTAGCTACCATTTCTATGGCATGTATAGTACTTTGTGCCAGGCACCATTCATGAATGAGTCATTTAGTGTGAGTAACAATCTCACCAGATGGATACTACTGTCATTCAGGTAGTGAGAGGAATTGCTGGGTACACACCTACAATGCTTCAGTAAGGGTGAGCCTAGATCATTCCTGCTGCTTCTGATGAGTGCCTGGGTGGTGACTAACAGGAGCCTTTCCATACTTGGGGCTAAGTGTGAGGGTGGCATGACCTTGGGTCATGTGTCCTCATCTTGGAGGCATGGTCCAGGGAAGGACCACAGCATGTTAGAACTGGAAAGGCCTCAGGGAAAATAGACTCCAACCCCTTCACTTTACAGATGAGGAAACAGAGTCCAGAGAGTCTGGTGACTTCCCAAGTCCCCCTTCAGCTGGCAGCAGAGGCAGGGCTGGAAGCCTGGGCTCCTGCTTTGCATTTCCAGCTCTTTCCATTATCGCACACTACCTCTAGATCCACACAGGCTGGCTTGCTGCTCCAGTGTACACAGACCCCTGAACGGTGACATTTCTGACACTTAAGCCATTGCTTTAGAAAGCAGGACTGTCCCCCGAGATCTGCAGGGGAACAAACATCTGATGAGGATTCTTGCGAATGAAAATCATTTCTTGATTTTCATTACTGTTTCTCTTATTCCAATGGGATAAAAAAAAGTGTCCTCCAGGAAACACACTCCATCTTCTACAGTAAAGCACTGTAAAAGCACACTCCTTAAAAATTCTCATCGATGTGTTTTGTAGTGGTTGATTTTATTTGTTTATTTAATTGAGGTAACATTGGTTTGTAACATTATATAAATTTCAGCTCAATTTTATTTAATAGGATCAAACAGGATACATTAAAAACTGTTGTAACCGAGTGTCAAAAAGACAATTAGCCCATTCTATTTTGGTATAAATATAAGTAGATGAGTAGCAATTCTGACATCATTTGAAAATGAATCTCCTTTGATGAGGTGTTTCTTTCTAATTCTTGTTTTTTTCCCAATGAGAAAGATCTCTCATCCTTCTATAACCACTTGCTAATGGCCAGGGCTAATGCACAGTGTTTCCAGTTATTCAGCAAATCAACAGCATTGATGGCTTTTCCAAGTTCTGGGACATTCATCAAATCTCAACTTATGTCAAATGGCCAATTCATGTTATATGTCAGTTTTTTTGAGTTTTGTTTTTATCTAGAGACAGCAAGGGAGGGCCAAGTGCTGAGGTGTCCTGTCTTTGCAAAGCTACCTTGTGAGCATTCTGACTAATCAGGCCATTGAGTTGTCTACCAAGTGGCAATCTTTGCTTCTCAGATAATGCTGCCCGATTTATCTTTCTGAATCACAGATGTGATCACATCAGAGTCTGCTCAGACACCTCTGCTGCATCCAGATTAAGGTCCTAACACTGCTGACATTTGAGGGCTTGCTGTTCCGGTGCTAACACTCCTTTCTAAACATTTCTGCTCTTCTCTCCACCCCTTCACTGCCTTACCTTCCCCCTGCCCCTGAACTGTCTCCCCTGTGCCCACCATTTAATGCACACTTAGAACAAGGCGAGAAGTGCTCAGTAAGGCAGATCTGGGTTGAGTTCTGCCTTTGCCTTTTAAAGCTAGGTGACCTTGGGCAGGTAACTTAACCTCTTTGAGCTTCAGTTTCCTCATCTGTATTAGGGAGATCATAAGAGTACCAGCATTACTGTGCTGTGAGAGTTACATGAATGGTTGGAACAGCACAGAGGACCCACTCAACAAATGGTGCCCAATGGTGCCCAAATGGTTATCATTGCCTCCCCATGAGTTCTGTGCACTGACTTCTCAGCGGGTTTTCAGACGTTGTTTCACGTGCTCTTCAGAACGAGCCTCTAAGAGATGTGAGGCAGATGTTATAATCATTCCCGTTTCACAGATGAGAATCTTATCGCTCAAACAGGTTGACTTTGACAAGGTCCATGACTCATAAAGGCTGTCAGGGTCTATGACTTCACATTGAGCGTACCTGTCTCCCACGTTGCCTGACAAGCGCTTCCTCATTAGCAGCCTCCCTTGAGCCTTCTGCCTGGAACACCTTCTCTCTGAGTTCTCTCGCCTGGAACTTGCTGCCTGTTGAAGTCTGTCTCCCTCAGAGTCCTGCCCACATTGCCCACCTCTCGAGAAGCCTTCCCTGAGATTTTCCATCACAGGGAATAATCCTCCCCCTGGGGTTTATTGATGCACTTGTCTCAGAATCCTGCCAGTGGACTATGGTCTTCAGAGGATAAGACCATGCCTTCTTCACCTTTGCATGGGAGGCTAGAAAACACATCGCCATACTAAATCTCAAGAATTTAGTGAAATGATGCTTTAAGCAGTTTTTCAAACTGTGGGTCATGATAGTTTGGGTTATAAAATCAATTTAGTAGAGTATGATCAGCGTTTAGAAAATTAGCCAGAATTAAATGAAATAGAGCAGAAAATAGTAATAAATCATATGTAAGGATAGGTTTTGTTTTTTCATGAAATATTTGTTTCAGTGTTTGTGCTGGGATGCAAAATATGATTCTTACTGTGGATTATGGAAAAATAAGTTTGAAAGCTATTTTATATAATTCTTAGGGGCTAGTAGTGAGAATTCTCAGACGGAAAACCTGAAATTGGAATTGAGGATTTATATGAGGCAGGATGCGCAATGCTTCTCTAGTCAGACTACCCAGACTTATATCCCGCCTCTAACACTTTCTAGATGTGTGGTCTTGGATAAGCTACTTAGCTACTCTGTGCCTCAGTTTCTTATTTGTAAAATGGAGAGAGTAACCACCTTAGGGAGTCCTTAAGAGAATTTAATGTGTAAATACATATAACATACTTAAAATATGCGTGGTGCATATATGGCAGCTAGCATTACAGTTATTATTAAGTAATTAAAGATAGGAGTTACTCTATGTTATGGGAGTTATGACTTTATTAACCAGAAAATACAGTTTTATTGAGTGCCTACATTGTAACCCTCATGTTACTTATAGTCTAATGGAGGAAACGGGGCTGACAAGCGGAAACATTCAGAGAACAACGGATGTCTCAGGCACTGAAAATGATGTCAGTTGTGTGTGGGAAATATATGGTCTTCGTATTTTTATGGTAGTATTTTTTTTTTTTTTTTTTGGTGAGGGAGATCAGCCCTAAGCTAACATCTGCCAATCCTCCTCTTTTTGCTGAGGAAGACTGGCCCTGGGCTAACATCCATGCCCATCTTCCTCCACTTTATATGGGACGCCGCCACAGCATGGCTTGACAAGCGGTGCGTTGGTGCGCGCCAGGGATCCAAACCGGCGAACCCCGGGCCGCCGCAGTGGAGTGTGCGCACTTAACCACTTGCACCACTGGGCCGGTCCCTATGGTAGTATTTTGTACTACCCTGGAGAAGGTTAAAGATTTGATCTTCAGTTCCTCCTGGAGGAACAAGGCATGGAGACCAAATCTTGGGAACGTTTTGAGTTTCCCTTTGTGGCCCAGGAGAAGTACTAGGGAGTAAGAAGCTCCTTTTTTGGAGCGTGAGGTGGGGGAAAAGGGAGCACAGAATTGGAAAATGGGACTGTTTAATGTATTTATTGAACCAGGATCTTATTACCATAAATAAACACTCGGCAGAGGGAAATGTGGAGATTCTTTTTATTCCTGTTCTTTTTGGAAAAGTTGCCATGAATTACATTTAGTGTGTTTATAGAACACCATTTTACCTATGATGCTACTCAGAATCCTAGAAGTGTTGCCAAGGAGAGGAATTAGCCCAATTAAAGCATCTTCCAAGGGAGACTGTTCATTCATAGCCATGAGTGAATTGTTAGTATTTTGGATTATTATTAATTATACTGAGTGAATCTGTGGGATACTGGGAGAGACAAAGCAGACCTTTCTTAATCTATATGCTTTCTTCTAGAGCAGTGCTTGGAAACCTTTATGTTCATTTGAATCATCTGGGGATCTTGTTAAAATGCAGACTCGGATTCAACGATCCAAGGGGGGGCCTGAAATTCTGCATCTCTCACAAGCTCCCAGGGGATTCTGATGCTGCTAGTTTGCAAACCATACCTTGAATAGCAAGATTCTGATGTTGCTTTCTGTAAAAAAATACTTTGTGTTTATATTTTATAATCGTTCTGACAAAACTTTTACCTAATTCACTAAATCCCAGTTTAGTCTATGTTGTATGCTAACAAACAACTGGACACCAGATCTTCTTTGCTAGGATTGCATGTTTTCTGTATCACAGTCGAAACCTTTAGAAGTGGTCCCTTCATTAAAGGCACCCACAATTTTTGTTATTATCTGTAGAACTTTAATTTTATTTTATTGTGACAAATGGCTCTCTATTCAGTGGGAACACTGCTGGAGTCCCTGTTTTGAGGACCTCTTAAACCAAATGTAGTTTAAGGACCACGGGCTAATTGAGAAGTAGGCAAATGCATATAAGGAAGGGAGAATGGATCTAGGTAGAGGGAAGACCAAGAATAAAAAGAACCACTCTCAGGCCGGCCCAGTGGTGTAGTGGTTAAGTTCGTGTGCTCCACTTTGGTGGCCTGGGATTCGTGGGTTCGGATCTCAGGTGCAAACCTACATACTGCTCATCAAGCCATGCTGTGGCAGCGTCCCACATACAAAATAGAGCAAGACTGGCACAGATGTTAGCTAAGGGCTAATCTTCCTCAAGCAAAAAGAGGAAGATTGGCAACAGATGTTAGCTCAGGGCCAATCTTCCTC